CAGCCACTGCTCAAAAAGCGCCACCATGACTGCATGAGGCTTCGGGGAACATCTAGACACAGCCATAAAACCTTCTGCAGCCCATCCTCAGGACACATGCGCTTCAGAGGGAGTATTTTAGATTTAAACCACGATACCCACGATGTTCCCAGTATCACTTTAATACAGGGAGAGGCCTAACAAACTCCTCTCTCCCTCTAACCAGTGGGAGAACTCAGAGAACTCAGCCCGTTTGCTGCTCGGGAACCTCAGGAAGCAGCGAGACCTCAGGGAATGCTCCCCCAGGGCTCCTGAGCCCCACGGGGCAGCGGCCTTTGGCGGAGGAAGCCCTGATGCTTCTCCGTGAGGAGCTGCAGTGACACCAGCTGGTTCACAGCTGCGTGACCACTGCTGAGTGCTTGGCTTCCAAGCCTGGTGGGTCCGAGCCCCCGTGTCACTTGCCAGCCCCGTGAGCCCGACCAACAACCTTTCTGTTGGTCGCTCAACAACCTTTCTGTGTCTGTTTGTTCATCTGCCAAATGCAGGTTTTGTATTCATCACCTGCCACACAGGACTGCTGTGGGAATTCAAGGAAACAATGGCAGGAATAGAAATCAGATCGAGACGCTTCTAAGGAAGGACAAGCTGTTGCCATTTGCCAAGTCTTTGAGGGAACATGCAGGGAGGAATTTCTAAGTAGGTGTGTCGGTCAGCGTTCCATCACTGTGACAAAAATGCCTGAGACAAACAAAAGAGGAAAGGTTTGCTTTGGCTCACGGTTTCATGGGGATCAGTCCATGACCACTGATGCCACTGCTCTGGGCTGAGGTGCGGCAGGACGCCCAGCAGCAGGATCTTCTGGAGAGAGGGCTGCTGGCCTCACGGCAGCCAGGAGGCAGAAGGAAGAGGCCCAGGACGGGGCAGCTCCCTGCAGTGACCCGCCGCCTCCGCCCAAGCTGCTTCCCAGCAGCCCGTTCAGCTGTGCACCCGTCGGCCCCTGCGGAGACCAGAGCCCCGCACATCAGGACAGGTACCCTGGAGACCAAGCCTTCAACACGTAAGAGCCACATCCCAACAGCGGGGCTCCCTCTTTACACAAGAAGACCCCACAAACCAACACCCCAGCCCATTTCTTCGGCCTTCTACTCCGTGAGGCCAGGTCCCCGGCTCTGCTGTGTGGTTCTCTACTCCCCAAACCTGGGGCCCGGTGACACTTCCACAACCTCTCAGGCCAGCTGAGCTCCAAAACAGGAAGGGGAGCGAAGCCCCCCACAAAATCAAAATCAATTAATGTCTAATTAAACGCCTGGAAAACCTGACAGTATGTCAAGTTCGTTAACTGTTCCATTCATAAAAATTTATTACCCCTCAAGTGTATCTGAAGAGAATTTATAGGTGAAAGCTTCTCCCTTCACGAGGATTCCCAAGAATAACGCTCGGCAGGGAGACTGTGGCCAATGGTAATTAAATGAATTTCTTGTAGGCAAATAATTTGGGAAGCAAAATAATTCTAAAAAATCTTTCAGTTATAAAACCAGAAGTCAGACGTGAATTCGTTTCAGTGCGGCTGCTTGGATGGTTTGGGGGGTTCCAAAAAGAACTGGGGAGGGCAGAGAGGGAGTACAGACAGACTCCTCCACTGGACACCAAGCCACCAAGCCACCTGCCCTTGCCCTGTGTGTCTCCTGCTAACTCCTCCCAGCGGCCAGGAAACCTATCCCAGCAGCATGGTGCTTCCCAGAAGGACTCCTGGGCCTGGGCCACCTTGTGCCTCCAGTGGGGACTTTCCTCTGCCCTGTCAGGCCCAGCTTGTGGTCTGATAGAGAGAAGCTCAGGAACTACGGTGAGCATCCAGAAGGCAGATAGGACAGTTTTGTCACCACAGAGAGGGACAGGAGGGGATCACACAGTGGGCTTGCTGAGCACGTACTCGGTGCTCTGTGAGGTCTTCCAGAGTGTGACCGCCTCTAACCTTCACAATGGCCCCTCCAGGTAGTGCTATCCCAGCCCCCCCCAAAAGGAGAAACTGAGGCTCAAAAGCATGACTTGCTCAAGGCACAGAGCTAAGAAATGGCGGTGCAAGGAGCAGAGCCTCATGTGTCAGACTCCAGGGGACACAGCAGGGCACACAGAGGGCCTGTCCACCAGGAGAGGGCAGAGCCAGGCCAGCTCCTGGCCTGTGAGGGGCAGCTGGCCGTCTTGCAGCTGCCAGCCCGCTAGATCACTGCTCCTGGCTCTGGGCAGAGCTCGGGAGACCAAGGGCCATCACCACACCTCTCCGGCCGCTCAGGGCTGCAGACCCTGTCCCCTGACAGAGACACCTCCTCGCTGCCCACGCTCAGGGCCTCTCTGCCTCCTCCCTCTGAGCCGCGTTCACAGGAGAAAACTCTGAAAATAAAATCCAGGCTCCTGGTAGAGAGGAGAGTTGGGTTTTGCCAACACATTGTGCAGTAAAAATATCTCTCTTTTAAACCAGAGAGAGAGAAGAACTGGAGATTTGAGATCGGTAACGTGTAATTAGCATCTGCTTTGGGCGGAGAGTTCTAATAGTTTCCAGAAAAACACAAACCACGAAAAGGAACGAGCTTTCCAAAGCAGAAAGAGGCCTGGGCTCCACGGGCTGCAGCACCATCTTGAAGCTCTGGGCTCCCGAGGTCCTTCCCAGGCCGAGGGCAGAGATTGTGGCTTCCCCACCTCCCTCCCTCCCTCTGTGGCCTTCAGGATGGACACTGGGCACCCAACGGTGCAATGCTGCCCTGGAGCCCCCTGCAGTCAGGCAGTGCATTGACCCTACTGGCTACGGAGGCCCCGGGAAGGGGCACTTCTGGGGACCAAGGTGCCCTCCCTTGACAGCCAGGCCTCTGCCAATAGCTGTTGCTCCCAATTTAGAAGGAGCGGGAGCCCAGGTTTAGCTGGGCACCTGGTGGTGCAGAACACTGACCATTTTCCCAGCCTCCCTTGCAGGTAAGGGGCAGGAGAATAAACTCCGAGCAGTGGGATGCTGGTGGGCATTAATGGGCAACTGGCAAGATGTGTTCTTCACAGAGGGACACCTGCCCTCCCTGCCCTTACTCCTTTCTGCTGCAAGAAATGCAGGTGCAGTGGCTGGAGCTGCAGCAGCCATTCTAGAATTGAAGGCACACGGAGGGTGGAGGCCAACAATGGCCCCTGGGCGCACAGCAGATCTGGCTGCTGACTACGCTGTTAACTGGAAACCACAGACACATCTGTCCCGTGTGGGCTGAGACTGTTCGAGCTTAATGACAGTCCTAATAGGCAAAGTTAACTTCTTACACTGAAAGGGAGAGCGCAGGGTGACCCTGCCGTACAGGTGAGACTCGGCTCAGTGTGGGGAGATCCCGGCCGCAGAGTCCTGGCGCCAGCGCAGATGTGTGTGAAATGCAGTTCTGTTTTGTTTTGGTTTGGTTTTCCGTCTTGCCCTTCCATCTGCTTTTGCCCAGGGCCTGCCGTGAGCCGTCTGGGGCGCAGCCACGCCTGTGTGAGCTCACACCGCACCCCAATAGCAATGCCTTGGCTCCCAGATTCGTCCATTCTGTGGCTGAAGAAACCGAGGCTGAGGAGGTGTCCAGCCACAGCAGGGGAGGAGCAGGTCGCAGGCACAAACTGCCTTGGGGAGAGAGCCAGGGAGAGGCTTGTTCCCAGGGCGACTCTGGGGAGCCAGGCAGCCCCTGTCACTGCGGTTTCTGCCGTTGGCTCCTAGAATCAACTAGAGTGACCTTGGGGGGAGGGGACACCGTGACAGGAGAAGCCACCAGACGTCCTCCAGATGGGCATTGGCCATGGGTGGCCTTGCCTCCCCTGCTCAACACAGCTGATCTTTGTAGAAGCAACCCGGCTATGCAGGGCAAGCCAAGGTGTGTCCCCTGACCCCTCTGGCCACCACTGGGGCCAGCTCTGTGACCTGCACACCAAGTGGGCACAGACAGGGGAGAAGCCAGGGCCTGAGGGGGGCAGGATCTGGGGTGGCTGGGGTGCAGCTAAGGAGGGTCCCAGCCGCGGTGGGGGGCTGTGTAGAGGGCACCCCAGGAGGCCTGGGGTGGGATGAGCACCAAGGACTGACCAGGGGCCTTAGCCACAGAACCAGCTGGATGCTCCTGTTCCGGGAGAGGGGCGTGGAGGACGGAGAAAGCACCTAGGAGAGGGCAGGCTGAAGCCAGCAGGCAGCAGTGGGTGGCTCCGGGCGGGGACACGGTCCTGGTCCTCCCCAGTGGAGCCAGTGGCCACGGAGGTGCTGGCCGGGGCCGGCTGGTGGCGCGCGCCCCCTGCTGGCCAGCCTCTGAGCGGCATCCCCGCCTCCAACAGAGCACAGGGACCTGCGAGGCCCAGGCGCTGGCCACTGGCCGTCCTGTCCTGGGGGCTGCGGTCTCTGCTTGTGCCCCAAGGGAGACAGCGATGACTCTGACCCTCCGGGGGCCCCTGGACGCTTTGAGACCTTGTGAAGGCGATGGCCTTATGCCCTGACTTGCTGGCCACCCTGCCCAGCCAGATCAACCGCTTTGTCCCCACCACTGCGGGTGAAGTGGGTTCTTCTCCTGCCCCTGCTGGCAGACCAGGAAGCAGAGGTTCAGGGGAACCCAGTCACCCCTACAGGTGGCCAATCGCGGTGAAATCCCAGAGCACGTTCTACCAGGAAGCTGAGGACAGGCCATCAGCTGTGGGGATTTACCCCGGACTTCGATGTTACAGGGCAGACAAAGGGCTTCACGGAGCTGAGCCTCAGTTTCCCCCCTGAGAAAGGAGATGGGCTGGAGGAGGGAGTGTGCGGCTGAGGAGCACGTGGTGAGGTGCTCATTGGAGCACAGCGTCCTCCTGATGCGCCCAGTGCGGTGGCAGGTGCTCCCTGCCCTGCCCTTGGTCTCAGCCTTCGTGGGGGTCCAGGCGGGCAGCAAACCATGCTGGAAGCCAGATAAGCCAGGGCAGCTCCTCCCAGCTGACGCCACGCTGGGCCTCCAAAGCCACCCTGCTCATCAGTTCTGCTTTCATTTCTGTTTCTCGAAAACCTGCACACAAGTTTCATTTTCTTTTTCCTTGGAGCGGATGGAGGCAGGCGGCTGGGACTCTTTCCGCACTGTAAGCAGCTGATACCGGCCCGGCTGAGCGGGGACGCCTTCCCTTGTGGTTCTGAGGTGCTAGAGGTGCAAGGCTCAGTCAGCCTTGTCCCAGGCCACCTGCCCAAGGCTGCAGTGCAGAGACCAGCTGCACCCCAGGGCCACTGGGCTCCTTGCCACCACTGTCGGCATGGCTGAGGCCCCTGCGGACCCCAGCGCAGGAGGTAAGGAACATTTGCCTTCAGAAGCATGGAGGCGGTTTCCCGGGTCAGGGGCTATTTCTTTCCCAGCACTTTCTTTGGAAAACAACAGTCACTTCCTACCAAACAGCAACACTCAGGAGCAGAGGTGCCTCGTTTGGAAGGCTGACTGCACTCCGGGCATGTGGTGTATGTGAGATAGTAGTTCTCAGCAGCCAGGGCACTGGTGTACCCATTTCATAGATGACATAACTGAGGCCTGGTGGCTGAAATGACTCAGGGCGTCACAGCTGGTGAGCGTTGAGCTGGGGGCTGCACAGTCATTGTGAGAATGCAGGTTGTTCCTTGATAAGCCCTAAGCGGACCTGTCTGTCACCCTAATCATTTCCTTTCCTCTGTGAGCCTTTCACTCTGGAAGTCACAAGGATGGGAGGCCCAGCCTGGATCTAAGCAATCAATGGCTCCCTCTGGAGGGGCCGTTAAGTGCTCGGATGTGTCCAGTTCTGTATTTTGCTGCTTTTGCTCTGCTGTTTGTCGTTAGCTCTTTTAATCCTCATGGAAGTCATCACTGTTACCTCCATTTCACAGATAGGTAAACTGAGGCACAGGACTTAGTACAGCTGGTAGCTGGCAGAGCTGGGACTCAACCCAAGGAAACCAGCCCACCAGAGACCACAAAGGAGGAACAGACTATGCCCGGGAAGGAGTGGCTTCGGGGTGTGGCCAAGGAGCACAGGCTGGGGACCAGTCCTGTTCATCTTAGGGGTGGCCGGTGGGCCCAGGCCCACCTTATCTGGTCTCTCCACCTTACTAGGTTTTCTTGCCTCGCTCCCCAGGTGACTGTTATTCCCTGCTTGTCACCTGCACCAGGCCCAGGGGCCCTTGGGCTTGCCCTCCTGCCCATCTCTGCTTGTACCTGCCCTCTGTGGTCAGTGAAGGAGAGGAGAGAGGGAGGAGGCCCAGTGTGGGACAGGCTTTCCACAAAGCCACACTCTCTGCAAGGCAAGGAGAAGCCAGGGGCAGGGTGTGCAGGTGGGGCTCTGGCTGCTGGGTGGACCAGGCGGGTGACCAGGCGGGCGCTGTCACCTGGCCCAGCATAGACGGGAATGTCCAGCCGGCAGGGGTATTGCAAACTTATTACCTCCCCCCGAGAGCCACGGCTGCAGAACAGAATCAACGCCAGCCGAACCCCCAGTTAGAGAAGACTCAGAGGCACAGGAGGGGTCACGGCCTTGGACAGGGCCCAGGAAGCCCCGAGGTGCACCCTGCCGTGCACTGCCCTGAGGGTTGGGGGCAGAGGCTGCCATGACACGGCTCTGCCCAGCTGCGGTCCCCAGGTGCCACCTGCCTGTGCTGGGTCTGCACTCTGTCTGCTGCCAAAGCAGCTGGCTTTTAAAAAATTCCCCTTTAATATGAGGCGATCCAAGGGCAGAAGTGACCATGTGGAAATTTCTCTTGGACCATGCTAGGTCCTGCCTGGGGCTCCTCACACCCAGACAGGGAAGCTGGTGCCCAGGTCAAGTGGACATCACCTGTCCACGCAGAGGCCAGCCCCCCCCCATTCACTCACATCCTCGTTCACATGCCTCCTCCAAGCTCCTGCAGTGTGCACAGCCCGAAGATGAGAGAGCCAGGCCAGCAGCAGGAGTCCCTCGTGGTCAGTCTTCAGAGGTCCCCCATACAGGCCACACCCCGTACGGCTGGGGGACAGCTTCCCAGAGGAGACGGCATCTGAGCAAGACCAGGGATGGACACCGGGCAGGTGGATGGGAGCTCGGCTCCAAGGGCAAGGGTGTGTGTTACCCATGCCAGGTTTCTGGCTTGGATGAACAGTGACATGGTCCATGCGGATGTGGCCCAGAAGGGGACCCCTCAGAAGGACGCTGAGGGCATCAGAGAGCCTGGCAGCAGGGAACCCAGGCTCGGCTCCACTCTGTTGGGCCCCTCTGGGCCCCTCCTCTCTGGCTCCCTGCTCTGAGGTCCTCCCAGGGCTAAGCCTTCCCACCGGCCCGGGTAGCACACAGGTGAAGGCCAGAGCCAAGGTCAGTTCTGACTGGCCTGTGTGCTTATCTCTGCGGACAGAGGCTGGTGTCCCTACTGGGACTGAGGGGTGTCCTCCCAGGTCTCTGTCTGCATCTTCTGCTTGGGACCTTTCTGTAGAGGAAGCCACCACTGCCTACTGGACCGTAGGGCCCCGCACTCAGTACTTGTCTCCGCCCGCCCTGTCCCAGACCAGCTGGAGCAGAAGATCCTGCAGGCCCTGAGGAAGGCCGGCTCCCCGATGCGCACGCCGCTGCTCGTGAGGGAATGTCAGGTGCCCAAGCAGCAGCTCAACCGGGTCCTCTACCAGATGCTGAAGGAGTCCAAAGTCTCTCTCGTGGCCCCTGCGACCTGGAGCTTGGGCGGGGGTGATCCTGGTGCCCTGGTTCCCGCACAGCCAGCCCAGCCCAGCATCGGTAACCAACACGAGATGGGGTCCCCAAGGGTCATCCTGGCCATGGATATGCCCAGATTCGGGCCCTGGGATCTGCCACCTGGGAAGCAAGGTGTCCCCTTGTTGTACCTTGATTTTCTGGCCAATGGAGCTAACAGAGGGCTGGGATTTGTAAGGGATGCAGAGAGGATTGGCCAGGACGGTGCCAGCTCATAGCAAGGGCAGTCACAGGGGACGACGAGGAGCCCAGTAATGACAATGGTCAGGACAGACCGCCTCGGGGTGCAGGAGCTCCTTTTCTGGTGTTACAACTCTCAGACGAGAAAGTCCTGACATTTATCAGACAGCGCCTTGGGGCTCCCCGCACCCTCACATGGGGAATAGTGCTCTTCCATTTTTTGTACGGATAAGGAGGTTCTCAGAGAAGTTACGTCACAGGAAGTCCCTAGCGGGAGGGGATGGCAGACTGTGTTCCTGCAGTGCTCCTCCCCATGCTGTCCCTGTGAGGTCCCCACCTTTGCCTGGTGCTGGCCAGGTGAATTTCCTGTCCCCAACCCCGACCCCTCTGTCTTCCTCAGCCCAGAAGCACCAGCAAGACTCAGCTGCCACCTCCGAGGGTCCCGGCCCCCAGCTCAGCGGCCTCCGTAAGCACCACCATTTCCTCTGTCCCCAGCCCTCTTGGGAGGAGCAGGAGCTCAGGGCCAAGCCCACAGAGGGCTCAGTGGGAAGCCGAGGCGTCCAAAGGGCGGAAAATCGTTTCTCTGCTCAAGAGCTGACACTGATGTGTGCCTTCGTGTGCGCGGGCTGTGTCCTGCGCTTTCCAGGGTCCTGCTCCCTGGGCGAGTCAGGGCTGCAGCAGGGCAGCTACACTGTCCCCCAGGTGGGACTCAGGAGCCAGGGACTGGGTCACTGTCCTGGGCTGCAGAGCCAGGGAGCGGTGGGGTGTACCCAGCTCGGGGCCTCCTCACCCAGCGAGCCACCCTGCCTCCAGAGCAAAGGATCTACAGGTTTCTGGAGGCCAACGGGCCCTCCAGGGCCCTGCACATCGCCAAGGCCCTGGGCCTGGTGACGGCGAAGGACGTGAACCCAGACTTGTACAAGATGAGCAGTAAACGCCTTCTGAGCTGTGATGAGAAGACCAAAGAGTGGAAGGTCTGTGGAGCAGGTAGGTGCCGGGAGAGGGCCAGCTGTGGAGAGGAGCCCTCAACAGCCAGTGCTGGATCCTCTGGGAGCTCTTGGCCTGCCCCCTCACAGACCTTCTGGAAACTTCTGGAAGCTTCTGGAAGCCTTAGGGACTCTCCACCAGGAGAGTTCCAGGTGGGAGGGGTGCTGACTAGATCAGCAGGGAGGCTGCCCTGGACCAAAGGAGTAGATGAGAAGGCAGGGACTCTCAGGGTCCTCCAGACTCCATCAGCCCTGGGGCGGGGGTCCAGACTCCATTGGCCCTGGGGTGCGGGGGGTCCATCTGATTTGGTAGTGGTTTGCTGTGAGTACTTCGTCCAAGATTTCAAAGTTGCCCAGGAAGAAGGCCAGGCGGGGCCCAGAGTGCTATGACTCAAGATATTTCCAGGGATCACAAGAATGTTTCTATCTCAATTTCTTTTAAAGTCAGAAGAAATGAATATTTTAAATAACAATCAGTATCTAAGTCCATTCTGGATTAGATTTTGTCTTCATAGAAGCAAAGCACAAAATGTCATTTATTTTATTTTTATTTATTTATTTTTTGATAGATGGGAGACCCAAGACAGGACAGCCCAAGGCCCGGGAAGGTGGCTGTGATGTAAAATATTCAGTGACCACGGCCCACCACCTCTGGCCATCACTCGAGGGCCAGGGAGCCTGCGGTCCGGCGGTCAGGGCTGTGGTCACCTCGTAGGGACAGTGACAGAGAACAGGAGACAGACAGGCTCTTGCGATTAATTCCCCAGGGACGCCTCATGCTGGCCATGCTGGGGGTGGACACAGTCAGGTGACCACAGAGCTGCCCGTGGTGTGTGTCAGACAATCAGGAAGAAGGTGGCAGGCTCTGCCCCCAGGCTGGCTCCTGGATCCCATCTTGGAGCTCCTGACTGCCCTAGGTTGGGTGTCTGGGGGTCAGGATCCCAACATGTCCCCCGGAATGGAACCCTGACCACCCACAGGGGCCCAAAGGGATAGAGTGAGCTTTTATTTTGCAGAAGATTCCGGAAGAAGAAATCTGTCAGCCACCGTGGTTTACCAGCAGAATCCAATCAACATGATATATCAGAGCCAAGTCTCTATTGCGAACTCAGAAGCCACACAGATTGGACATGGGAATGTCATAGTGAAACAGGAGAAGAACGGTGAGATGTCTGAGAGACCTCCAAGGGCTTGCTCCGTGTAGGCAAGGTTAGGGGACAGGGGGATTTGATCCTCCAAGGAGACAGGGCAGCTTCCTTTATGGCCTTCCCAAGAACGAGGGAGCCTGGATCGAACCTCTCCTGATGTCCGATCACTCCAGTATGTTTGACTCATTTTCAGTGGCATCTAATATTTTGCCATTAAAAAATAATTCAATTCACTCTCGCTCAGCAGTGGGTTGCTGGGACATTTTGTCTGTCCTGAACACACTCCTCTGCCCCTCCCCTGGATTGTGAGAGGAAGCTGGGAGGCATCTTGTGGTCCATGGCATCTTAGGTTAGATGGCACAGGAGACTGTCATCTACTCCATGCCACATACAGCGGCCTGAGGACGCCAGGCTGCCTCTGTCACCTGGACACCGAGCAGCACTGTCACCTCGGTGTGACAGCCTCGGCCTCAAAGTGCAATGCTCCTGTGACTTGGGGAGAGCCCTTCCCCACCCTAGCCTCAGTGGCCCCAGCTGTGATACTAGGAACTGGGTGTTACCTCTCCAATTCTGGCATGGCCCCGCCTGGTTATTTACTTAATGCTGCTAACTGGGCTACTGTTTTCAGGCACAAAGATGTTTTTAAAATGTAATCATGGGGCTGGGGATTTAGCTCAGCGGCATAAGCGCCTGCCTTGCAGGCAGGCAGTCGTGAGTTCGATCCCTGGTACCGATAAAAACGAAAAAGACAAAAGAGTAAAAAAGAAAAATGTAATCATTAGGGTTCTCTTATATTAAGAGGCCAGGAGTCACCCTCAGTATAAACGCCGGAAAAACAAAACTGTTGGTCGGGGACCCTGGGCCTGCCGAGAAGCATCAAGGCCCAGTTAGCATGGGGACAGGCGTCTGCCTGATGGGCTCAGAATGTTCATGGCCACCTGGAGCAGATGCGTGAGCCCGTGTCCAGGTCTGCAGCCGCCTCCCCCCCACACACACACTGTACCCTAGCCATGCTCGGGAGACCCTGGGGGTCCCCACTTCTAGCTGCCCCCCGTGTCAACTGCTCTCCAGGCCAGAGCAACTAGAGTTACCCTCAGCCTGCCACTGTGTCCCTTCCAGGTGCCGTGTCGCCTCGCCGCCCCCCGCCAGTGGTGCCGGAGGACTCCTGGGGACCCCAGAACATCCACATGGAGCGCTCCATGCTCCGGAGGGTGCAGGTGGGGCACGGCAACAAGATGGAGCTGCTCGGAGTCCCGTCCGGAGGCCCCGCCTGCAGCCCCTCCAGAGGCCCGCCAGGTAGACCGGGGCTTCCTCCTGGGCTGACCGGTCCCTGTCACCACCTTGGCTCCCTCCTGGAGGGAACTGGAGCCAAACTTTCAGAGAGAGGCATGATGGGAAACTCCCCTTTAGCCCCCACACCACGGTGCTCCCCGTGGGGAAGCTGTCTCCTGGTCTAGAAAATGGGCATGTGTTCCTCAGAGAAGCCTAGGCTGGACCACAGAAGCAGGCCAGAGGAGCAGTGTGGGGCCTGGCACAGTGTCTACGGAGGAAGGAGGCAGGAGGCAGCCTGGGCACCGAGGGCCCAATTAGCACTGGCATCGCGGTGACCGGCTGAGTCTTCCAGGACATTGGGAGCCCAGAGATGGGCCAAGAAGCAGGACATGGGCCCAGGAAAGCAGCTCCAGAGAGGGGAAAGGCCAGCCGGGCGGGGTGCAGCCCCAAGGGGTCAGCAGTGAACTAGTCTGGGAGCGGGAGTCTGAGAACGGGAGGAGGCCAGGATGAGTGTGGACAGCTTATTCAAGTTCTAGAAATGTGGGTGAGACAGGGGGAGCTGATGGCAGGGACCAGGAGGACTTCAGGAAGTCCGTGTGTCCACAAGGAAGGCACCAAGGGCCAGGCCCGTTGTGCTGGGCCTGGGCAGGAAGAGGGATCCAGCATCGCTGATGGACAAAGGGCTCCTCCCAAGGTACGGAGGCAGGGTGGCCTTGCCGAGCTGTCCACGGAGCCAGTGTGGACACAGGGGAAAGTCAGCCATGGCCAGGCTGTGGTCCAGATTCCTGGGCTACTGTCCAGAGGCTCATTCTTCCCAGAGTCACTGGGCAGCACAGAGTTTTAACTGCATGCGAGGTGGAAATCAAGCATGGGCCGGTTCTCCAGCCTGCTGACCCTGGGTGTGTTTGTAATCCTCTAGAGGGGGATCCCAGCGCGGGCTTCCAAGGCATGCCCTCCCGGCTGAGGGTCCCGCATGCACATGGACGGCATCACACACGGGCACAGTGCAGCCCTTTCAGTGCCAACCGCCCGGGCATCAGCCCAGCCACCCACCCACCATCCAACGCCGTCAGCCCCGGCTCCTGGGTGCTAGCAGCCTTCCTGCCGCTCAGAGCCAGCACTGCCCACAGGTCTCAGGGACTCTTCAGCCGCGAGAGGCAGCCACTGTCGGTGATTCTCCACGACCCTATCACTGTGTGGCTGCTGGACACTTTCAGCATTAGCCATCCCCACTGCTGGCCACTTTGGAGCCCAGCTCGGCAGATTCTGCTTGAGGCAGGAACCACGAAGAGACTGACGCATGCACCTGGAGGGCTTCCCCAGCATGTGTGCTACAGCACGGGGGGAACTGTGTGGACTGAACCGGGAGGGACCCAGGGTGGCCGGGAGGCCTGCATCCAGCGGTCGTCAGCTCCAGGGGGCTGAGGAGGCTGCAGAGGACTCGGCAGAGTCACCCAGGGTGGGACTGTAGCTGCTCACACCTAATGCTGACCCCTGCCGGAGCACGCACGGGGTCCCCACGGCGAGGAAGATGCCGGGCATCCACAGGATACAGGAGCTTTTAGGGAGCACTCACCAGCCTTTCTCTGACCCGCAGTCTCGGCTACTGCTGCTGGTGCAGATGCCTGCTTTGAAGCCCAAGTGCCGGAGCCGGGCTCTCACCCTGAGGGGCACAGGGTCCAGAGAATTCGCATCAAATCCTGCCATCTTGAGGATGCCGCCATCGGCAACAGGAACAAGATGACCGTCAGCGCAGGCCTGGCTTCCCGCAGCAGGGCTGCGGAGTCCAGAGCTGAGGGCGGCGGGGAGCCGGAGCCTGCACAGCAGCCGGAGGACACAGGTAAGACCAGGGCCCGCCGTGTCCCCAGCCCGCTCCCTCCCTCTTGCATGCCAGGGCCCAGGAGGCAGAAGAAGCCAATAGCAAGGTCCTCTGAGTGCATCAGGGACACATCCTTCCAGCGGAGGCCCCGCCTGAGTCAGGAGCCCTCAGCTGGCTGCAGAGCCGGGGTCTCCAGGTTCACAGGAGAAGACAGCGTGGGGCCGTGGGCAGCGGGACAGGCAGGCCAGTTGCAGCTGGGTGGGAGGGCAGGCCTGGAGGCAGAGGGAACAGCACAGGACCCGGACTGAGCTTGTCAGGTGTGGGGATGGCAGGGGTGTGCGGCCCGTGCCGCAGGGCCAGAGGGGAGAAGCAGCCAGCACTTGCCCCGGCAGGGTGGATGCCGGAGCCGCCTCCAAGGCAGGGAGGACACAGAAGGACCCAGCACTGGACAGGCTGGGCAGAGATGCCCACACTCAGTGTGCAGCAAGATAGAAAGGGGTCCAGTTCCCAGACGTCCAGGATTGGAAAAAAGAGCCATAGCTGGCCCAGGGGCTAAAAAACCAGATTGGCCCAAGTCTGGTGGACAAGCCGGTGTCCTCCAGCCAGGGCTGCAGGCCTGGGTCCTCCCAGCCCTAAGGCTGTGTCCCTCGTGGCCCCAGCACAAGGAGGAGGGCCAGGCCTCCTCTTCCAACACTGCCCTAGGACACTTAGAGTGCCTTGTATCCGGGACACAGCTTGGGGGGTTGGGGATGGGCACATATACTATGGCTAAGGCAGGGATCCTGTGACATGTGGGTGGGGTGGACGGGGACCATGGTGGGCGAGGGGCACTGCGGCCAGGCGGCTGGGGAGGCTCCGGGAGGGCTGACTGGGAGCGAGACCCGGGACAGCACTGCAGGGAGCTGAGGGCAGGTGACAGCTGGGAGTCACGGAGCCCGGGGCTCAGGAGGAGTGGGTCTGAGGGGCGGGCCTGGGCCCAAGCCTCGCCTTCTGGAGCCGGGATTCCCGGATGGAAAGCTGCACCCTGTTTGAAGCGAGCTGGGAGGCCTAGAGGGCTGAAGTGGGCGAAGTGTACCGCGTGCAACCTGAAAATCTCACTGAAGACAGCTGGGGAGCAGAGCAGGCAGCTGCCACGATGGCCAGGCAAGAAAGGGCAGGCGCCGTGGAGCAGGGGCTCTCGGCACTCCGTGACCCCGAGGAAGCACCTAGCCTGGGCACAGCGGCCTCAGCCCCCAGGAACCTAAGAATCCAGTTTTTCAAGGCAAGCAGCTCACACGTCTGGTGCTGGCCTCTTCTGTCCCCCAGGTGCTCCCGAAGCCGCAGGATCCAGGAGCCATTCCCCTCCAGAAGTTGTCCAGGCTCCTCCCGACTCCCCACTGCCCACATCCGAGCTGAAGACCCTGACCCTGGGAAGCCTTGGAGTGGCGGAAACAGAACCCCGACTCTGAGCAGACAGAGCCCATGGGAGGGGAGAGGGTGAGGGTGAGGGGCATTCAGTGCCATCCTCAGACTGGACCCCAAGAGGAAGAGTGGTGCTTCCTGCACCCCACAGACCACAGCTGTTACTGCCCACACTCGGCCAGTGAGTGGGCTTTAGGGCTGGGCCTGGCGCAGGGAGGGCCTCAGTCTGAGTCTGCTGGCAGGCGGCAGGGGTCACCCTCTGTCACGGCTGTCTGCTGTGCCCCTGCCACACAGCACTCATGGGAGGTGATGGGGCCCCGAGGGCTGCGCCCTCAGGCACGGCCAGAGGAGAAGGCCCAAGTGGCCCAGTCTCTTGTGGGGACAGCAACAAGGTGCCATCTTGGAAGCCGCAACAGCCCCACCAGACACTGAACCCTCGGGTGCCCTCATCTTGGCCTTTCCAGTCCCTAAACTGTGAGAAATAAATTTCTGCTCTCATAAATTGCCCAGCCTAACGGGTTTTGTCATAGCAGCCTCAAGAAGCAGGACAATGATCAGCTTTGCTCTCCCTCAAGACCTGACTTCTGCAAGCCCGTTTATCCACCTGACTTTCTAGAATCTCCTCTCCTCTGCCTGGATCTCAGGAGTTCACAGCTGAATTTCCAGGAAGCAAATTCCTCCACCCTCCACACACACACACCCCACCCCATCCCTACGCCCACTCCCACCCTCGCCCTGTGGAGGTCACGGGCCTGGTCGCTTCCCCTGGCCAACATTCGGGGAAGGCTGTGGCAGACCTGGCCCTCTGAAGGAGGCTGGATTCCCTCAGAAGTGCTATGGATACCGAGTCATTTCATGAGCCAAGAGGCAGGCTGGGGACAGGGCAGGGACACTTGAGAAGGACACTTCAGATGGGAAGATGGAAGACAGGAACACGGGGTCAGCCTGGCAGGCCACTGCGGAACAAGGGCTGTGTTCCCGCCTTGCACACACACAGATGCTCTGCCCTCGAGCCTCCCAGTGCAAACCCGAACCCCTCAGGGTGGGCTTCTCCCCCACACTGCTGCTCTCCACAGGACCCCAAAGTGCTGACACCAGGAGCCCTCTCCCCTGGACTAATGTTTAGCTCGGTGGGGACAGGCCCGGAGCCCTTTCCTGTCTCCAGAGTAGACTCCTGCATCTCGGCCAGGACCCAGAACTTGCTTGTTCCTTCCAGGAGAATCCTGAGACCTGCTTTGGGCTCCCGGTTCCAGGCAGTTACAAAGCAAGAGCTGTCCTTGTGCCTGTCCATTAGAAGAGCCAGTGGGGTCCCCTCAGTGCTGCAGCCAGGCCCGCGTGGACTCTGGCTTCCCAGGGCCCCTGGTCTCTCTCCTCTCCCACTCTGTCCTTAGATCCCTAACACCCAGCTTGCAGGGCTCAGCTGAGACCTGGCTCATGGCAAGAAATCAGAGCCTGGTGCCTGGAGCCTGCCCCTGAGGGGAGGGGATTTCATGGGCGGCTCCAGGCTGGACTCAGCGGGGAGAGGCTAGGACTGGGCACTGCATGGCTGTGGATGGCAGAATGCTCAGACTCCCTTCAGCACACAGGGCTCTTAGCAAAGATGAACCAGGCATTACCTCCTTCCAAAATGCCCGGATCCCGAGCTCAGGCAGTGTCTGAGAACCCTGCCTTCCTCCATTCCTCGGCTCTGCTCTCCTCTGTGTTGCAAAAATAGCCCATCCCGCCAGGCCACTCCACCACAGCTTAGCTGTCCACTGGAAGGAGGTCTTTCCTACAGTGGAAGCCATGTTGGACAGCTTTGGTCACGTGTCCCTCCAGCTGATCACCAGCTAGAGCAATGGAGGGCTGGGATTGGTCACCGGGTGTCACATGATTTCCCTCCCACCAATCACATGACCAGGTGGTGTGGAAGAGGTGACTCTCCACAGTGACAGCAAAGAGGTGCTGGGAGCTCCTGTGCTCTCCCGGCCTCGCCTGGGGAACCTGCTGGGCTCAGGTCCTATTATTTCTCTTTCACTTCCAGGGCCCTCGGGCCTGCACAGAGGACCACACTGACCACTTCCTGGAGGCCAAAGCCTGTCCTGGGCCTAACAGGGGGCCACACACTGAGTGCTGGGACCTCAGCAGGGGTAATCATGGGTGTGTGAGAGTGCGGAACAGAAGGCTAGATGTGACCTGGCAATGCCCGCAGCTTCCTGGGAGCAGAAAAGCTCAGCCCAGGTGGAGGGGGGTGGTGGACGATGGGGCTGTGCTCCGGGCAGGGCCTGAGCCTGGCCAGGCAGCAAGGTCAGGATGAGAGGACTGAGTCAGAGGACCGCAGCACTGACGGTGTAGCTAACAGAGGGAGGTCTGGCCCTTTGCACAGCACCCAGTGCCTAACTCTGCCCAGTCCACTCGGTTGTCCTGGGAGAACCGAGCATGTCTGGGCTGCGGGCCAGGCAGCGGGGGTCCTGAAGAGAGACGAGGATCCTGTCGCCTGGGCTGGAATTGCTTGGCCCTACCAGGACAAAGTCACCTTGGCCAGTGTGGCACACTGCGGCTTCCAGATCGGGTCCTTGAGGGAGGCCCAGTTTGCAACCATGGAGGCCCAAGTACCCAGGCTTGTGAGTGGCTTAGCTCGCTGCTCCTGAGTGGTCCTCTTTCCGCCCCAAGCCCTAAGCCAGTTCTGCTTCTAGGTTTACTCAGGATCCAGGGCCCGCCAGGTCCACCGGGAAGCACACGCAGCTCCCACCCCAGCCCAAACCAGCGCCCTGACTCCCTGGTGAGATGTCTCTCTCTGAGTCATTAATCTGTCACGAGCTTGCTGCCCAAGCAGCTCTGGTGATCAATGGGCTAGGGGTGAAGGCTGATGTCTCTCTGGGAAGGAAACCAACCAGTCACCATTAACAGCAGGGAACGGTTGAGTGCCTGTCCCCAGCCCTGTGCTCCCACTGGCTCCCTGCTCCCTGCCCTCCCCTCTCTGGACACTGCCCACAGACTGAACGTGCAGTCCCCGGAGATGGGGAATGGGCAAGCTGGGGGTCTCATCCTGGCCACCCTGGCCCCATCCAGGGCAGCCCCTGCAGAGCTCCTCGCCTGCGGTTCCATCAGCCAGGTGAGACTGGAGACTTAGAGCAGGAAAAGGGTCCGGAGATAACACAGGAACATCTTGGCTTCGTGTGACAAAAGCTGAGTCCGCCCCAGCTTAACTGAAAGGGGACTGACCTGCTTATGCACCCGGGGATCCTGGATTCCCCCATGGCTGCACCCCGGGCGTTAAACCTGATTTCCAGAGTTTCTGTTCTTCTCTCTGAGAGACTGTCTGAGTTACTTTCTTATGCTGAGACAAAATACCCACAGCTGCAAGCTGAGGGGGGAGAGGTTTATTTAGCGCAGGGTTGTAGGGGTTTTAGTCCGTCATCAGCTGGCTCCAAGGCCAGCCTGGGCTACATGGCTGAGGTCAAGACCAGCTTGAACTACACCGAGAGTCCCTGTCTCCAAAAAGAAAACCCAAGAAAACAAAAGAGCAACAACCACAACAAAAGCCCTGCAGTCCTCCTGGCACTTTTGAATTAAAATTGTTATGTTTCTTTTCAGTTGTTTGGTGTTTTTGTTTTGATTTTGGTTTTTTTCTTTCTGGCTGCCTGTTGCTTGTCTGTCTCCCGCCCTCTGCTCTCTCCCTCTGGCTCTTGCAAACTAGTGGTGGTCGGTGTGGCTTAAAAGTTCAAAACAAACAAACAAACACAACCAAAAGCAGCTCTGAACGATCTCAGGCTTCACCATCTCCAGTGGGCCGTTGGCTGTGGCGGGTTTTGGGCCCAACCCGTGTTTGGGGACCTGCTAGACTGGGGCCCCTCCTGAGCCGCTATAGGGCTGGGTCTAGGAAAGGCACTCCCTTCCGAGTCTGCAGCTGGGTCTGCACCCCTCCTCGCCTGTGTGGCTCCCCAAGGCCCCCCAGTCCATTCAGAGCTATCCCCTCCGTCCTTAGCCCCTGGCCATGGCGCTGAGCCCCCACAATCTCAAGCCCAGGACTAATCACTTCCCTCTGTTTCTCCATGTGAAGCCCCAGGCCCACAGCTCCCCGGGATGGTTGCAGGGATCCCCAGGGCGGGGTGGGCGGACGTCCCTCCGGCTCCACCTGCCAGGTGTCTGGACGCCCCGGCTGCCTCATCTGCAAAGAACCGGCTCTCTGCACATGCCCACGCAGTGCAGAGGAGGGGGGCCCCCCAGGTGGCGAGCGAGACCTGCGGGTAACCGCAAAGCCTGTCACCTCTGACCTCAGTTTCCCGTGATCTCGCACGGGGAACATCCCGGGCCCCCGACTGGCCGCAGTTTCTGGGTGCAGCCTGCGCAGGGGTCTCGCTGTAGGCCTCCCCAGTACCCCAGAGGTCCCGCGGACCCCGGGAGGGCACCCTGAAGCGGCTCCGAGGGATCCAGCCTCGGCGGTGACCCCGAGAGCCCCGCGCGGGGTGCAGCGGGCCCTGCGCCACCCCGTGGCCGCTCTGCGCGGCAGCCGCGTGCCGCTGCCGGGGCGCCGGAGCTTCATAGCCTTGGTCCGCGCGCCATCTGCTGGCCGCTGCCCGCTGGCCACCGCTCGCCGTGCAGAGCAGTCCACCTCAGGGGTCTGACCCAGGATCCTGCCACCCCTTCTCACCATTGACCAGATCCCACGGGGACCCTGGCTCTGGGCTGCAGCACAGCGCTCGGGGGCCCACGAAGCCCACCTGAGTGCCTGCACTGCCCTTCTGGGGTCCCCTTCCAGCTGATGCCAGCGCCCCAAAGTTGTGCAAACTGGACAAACCCAGCACCCTGCAAAGGCCGCTCGTTTTCCCTAAAGACCAACTGCAGACCTCAGGCTCCCCTGCAGTCTTGTGCCCATACCCCTGCACCCCTTAACCCCTGCACCCCTGCACCCCTGCACCCCTGTCCCTCACCAGGCTCCCGTGGGCACTTAGTCCAACACTTCCGCCATCCCAGGAGAAAAGGATTCTCACCCCGTTGGGGAGCACAGAGGCCACACAGCCAACACTGGCCTGTTGGGGACTGAACTTGGTGCAGGAGAGCACAGACAACCTCTGCGGCCAACAAGGAATAAACACAGGGGTGTGCATGGTGGGTTTGGGAGACACCTCCAGACCGGGTGGTGTGGGGGGTGGGGATGATGGCTCACTCTCTGCACCCCAGATGCCCACACCCACTCCCCACACAAGGGGACACCCCCAGGTCTACACAGCGCCACAGAGAACAAGCTTGGGGTCTCCTGGGCTCTGAGCTCAGCCCTATCTTCCAATGAGTGGCCTTAGGCAGGTCCCCAGGTCCCCTAGGTATTCAGGAGGTCTCTCTGCACAAGGCCTGCTCATTGGTTCAGCCCTGTCAGTGCTATGGGGACATCTGTCCCCCCACCCGGTGTCCCCATCTCAGTCCCTTTCTTGCCCTTCCAGACTCTTGCCTGACGCCAGCTCACCCCCCCCCCACACCCTCATTAGTCTGACATTGAATCTAAGGGTGGGCGCAGAAGCCCCCACCCCAACCCCAGTGCAGACCTGAGGGCAGCTGCGTGCTCCTCGGAGGGGCAATGGGCCCTGAATGAATGACAGCTCAGCTCGGGGGAAGGCAGCATCACGGCCACACCACCAAGGTTGCCTCCTCCTTACAACCCGGAGGCCACTGACACAGGGAGCCCGCCCCCTCCAAACAAAAGCCCTCCGTGGATGGCCTCAGCAGCTACCAGGTATGCAACCATAGTTCCGTCTTCCTGAGCCTCAGTTTGCCCATCTGCAAAGCAAGGGCTTCAGTGAGATAGAGGGCTCCCAGCAGTGGACGGAGTGGGACCCCCCAGTTCCCCAACAGCTGTGGCCTCACAGCAGTTCACGGGCTCACTGGACGGTGCCCCATCAGTCAGTCCCTGCAGGACCCCGGAGGAGGTATCCTGGTCCCTTCTGCTGGTGACAAGGACCAGCCAGTGGTGGTCCTCCAGGGGCCTTGCAGCAGCTAGCAAGCGCCCCCTCAAGGCACGGGGGAGACTTCTGGCTTAATCCCCAGCACCACAATCTTTGACCCCAAACTTAGACTTGTCAAAAAACAAAACAAAAACCAGAAAGCCCTTCCCAGCCGGCTGCGGAGGGCTCTGTCTTCCCAGCCTCCTCCAGGGGAGCAGAAACAGGAACGGAGGACCCTGGACCACACACCTTACCCCTAAGGGGTGCAACCCTCCCCACGTCTTCTCTGTCACAGATCCGGGCCTAGGGGTGTGTAGGAGCCAGCCCGGCAGGGTGCGCCTCCCCGCAGGTGTGATTATTGCTAATTGCAAAGTGGCGGCGGCGTGGGGAGCAGTCTACAAGGAAACGGGGCCTCGGAGAAGGAGGGCCGGCTCCGGGTGCGAAATTCCCGCCGGTGGTCTTCTTTGCCCTGTGTCTGGGCTTCCGCGCCACCCTGCAGGTGAAAACGGCAGCGTCCACGGAGCCTTCTGGCCCCTCGACTTGGAGACCCCAGCCTGGACGGATGAGACGCCGCAGAGACTCTGACCACCAGGTGGCGCCCTAACCTTGCTTTGCACATTGAGCCCAGGCTTGGCGGTCAGCAGAGGGGCAGGGGACGAGTGGCTGGGCCCAGGTGACCCCGCGCTGTGGACCCCCACCCCGAGTCAGCATCGTGTGGGAGACCGCTCTGTACAGGCGCCTCCTCACCTAGCTGGGTGGCCACGAGGTGACCGGTCTCTGCTGGGTCCAGGGGTCCATCTGTTGTCCAAGACCCAATACCCATGAGGCCCGCCCTGTCGTGTCCTCCTCTCCCTAACCTTGAATCTGCCCTTCAGCCCTGGAACCCATGTCGCTGGCTGCCTGTCTGTCTGTCTCCCTATACCCTTCTGCGAGATGGCACCTCGTTGCCCACAAAGTCCCAGACATCATTTTCTTCTGCTGGCGTGAGGTCAGCCCACGGCCCAGGACTGAAGCAGGGCCAGCACCAGGATGCCCTCCTGCTCCCTCAGCCTCCCTCCACCCCAGGGCCTTTGCACGTGCTTCATCCTCCCTCATCCTCCCTCCCTGTGGCTTGCCATCAGGTCTCAGCTCGTGCTCCAGAAAGCCCCTCCCACTCCCAACTGCTCTCTGCCGCTGGACACATTATCCTGTTTCCCCCTTTCTCCTGTGACACCCACAGCTATGCAGGACAGCATCCTCTGGGTCCTCTGCTGCCCCTCGGGCTAGGGCACCCCAGCAGGGACTCAGTGTAACTTCCGTGGGTGACATGCCAGCAGGGTCTGGAACTCTGGATGGCCCATCTGTCAGTCAGGACCCTGCAAGACCTGTCCCTCCCACAGTCCTCTGTGGTCTCACTCCCTCTGCCCAGTCTGCTAGGACGGATTACACCTACACCTTTCTGCCCCAGGGCCTTTGCTCAGGCTGCGAACACCCCTGGAGAATGTTTCTGTTTGGTTTTCTGTGGCATGAGAAAGGGAGAGAGAAAAAGAGAGGAAAAGAGAGAAAGCAGAAGAGCAAAGGGCTTTATTGAGGGAATGGAAGGGCTGCTGAAGAGACAGGCACCTTCTGGCAGCTTGGTGGGGGGGGGAACCCTGGCTTTTATTTGAAATTTGATAGGGGCGGAGCTAAGGGGCAGGTAGAATGACGTGATGACAGCTGATTGGAGGAGCATTTGCCGGTGTGAAGAACGCAGGCAGGCGCTTTCTAGGAAGAATCTGCCGGCATCCCCGCCTGTCACCCAGAAGGCCCGCCTGAGCCCCACCAGAAGGCTCCCTGGGCTCTTCCTTGAGCGGACTTTCATCTGCCTCTCCAGAATTGTCCCATAAACTCTGCCGCACGCTGCACAGCCTCGCATTCAGCCGAGGGGCCTGCTGACTCTGGGGGTGACCCTCAGCCCTCAGGGGAGGGGTCAGCCTGTGCTAACCCACAGGGCAGGAACGCCAACCCCACAAGCCCCGCCTGTGGCTGAGGGACACAACACTGGCCAGGCGGCCCTTGGGACAGGAGAAGCAGTTCCTGTTCCTGACCTGTGTGGGGCCCCCTTACCCACTGCCCAGGGCCTTCGTCTGGGTGGCCATGGTGTCCGTCACTCGCACTGACTCACAGGGCGAAAGCGGGCTCGGGGAGCAGGGATCTGGTGCTCAGTGATAGCTTCATGGTTTGGGGACAGAGACAGCTTTGCTCGGTCAGCGCGAGCTCCGGGCCATGCTGCCCTCTGCTGAGGCCCCTGTGAGGCTTGGTTTCCCCTTCTGTGTTATGATGGGGTCTCTACCCCTCAGCAGGACACAGAGCCTCAGTCCTGCCCTGGGCCCCCCAGGAGGGCCATGGCTACCCTCTCTGCCAGTGGCCATCCCTGGATAGGTGTTGGGCAGCCTGGACAGAGTGTGGATTTCCTGGGGCCGCAGTCAGACCCCGGGTGGATCAGGGGGCTCCTGGAGCCCTGGGCTCCCCACCCCCTTCCTCCTGGGTGCCAGGAACCCTGATGCAAACTCTGACGTCAGCCTGGGTTTGAACCCCGAGAGCTCCAGGGACTTTGGGCAAGGCCTTGGGTCCAGGCCGGAGTGTTTACAGAGCGGCGGGGCTGGGTCCCCATGCTGATGAGGCAGCCGATGGCCCTCCGGAGTCCCTGACACGAGCCGTGTTCCGAGGGCTAAGGCCAGGTGCTGACGTGGCCCGGGTCCCCAGGGTGAGGGGCTGCAGGGCAGGCGGGGGGCATCCTCCCTCCTCCCCCCTGTCCACTGCCCAAAGTCAAGGTCCAGCCCACACTGCCTTCCTGCTCCAACACCTCCTGCCCATCCTCCTCAGTCGGGGCCCTGTGGGTCCCCAGAAGGGGGATGCGCACCCAGGCCGTTCTCCAGCCTCTGAGGGTGGCCTTCCTGTGGGCAATCTCAGAGAAGCTCACTCGCCGGTGTCCTCAGGTTCCTGCCCCCGGCTCCCCGTCCGCACCTCCTGCCCATCCTTCTGCTGTCCTGTTACCCGGAAGCAGCTCCTGCGGCCTCTGTGTCCGGCCCCCCCGCTATCCACACTGCCCACACACATCTGGGACACGCATCTCCAGTCCTGTGCTCCCTCGCCTTCACCTCTGTGGCTCCCTCTCGTCCCAGATCACGATGAGACCGCTAAACCGAGCCCTTGGCCTGTGGACTGCTCTGTCACCCTCTTCCTTCTCTGGGCCCTGAGCCAGGAATGCCCAGCCTTGGGCCTGTCCCCCACCTCTTGGGACGCTGTCCCCGTCATGCAGAGCCGCTTGGCCTCTCCATGGGCTGCACACATCCAGGCCTCGCTCAGGGCCTCTGGCCACCTTCTCTGCCCAGGACATTCACAGGTCCCCCCTGGAGACTTGGCCCCCGAAGGCACGGACTAGGGATGACCCTGCCAGTCTCTGCTGCGGATGCTTCAGCCAGGGGACAGGGTCCTGGAGCACCAGAGGCTGTGGTGACCCCACAGGAGAGGACAGAGCAGAGCAGAGGAGCAGGAAGACATAGCGGGGTCCACGGGGCCCCTGGGGGACAGGGGCTCTGGCTCAGGCCCTGGAGCTGGAGGCTGGGGCCGCTCTGCTGGTCTACCAGGGCCCCTGGCCAGGGTCCCCGAGTCTTCCACCAGAGGCAGACATGGCAGCTGTCCCACCTGGGGCAGCGTGAGCACCCGACCTGCATGCATGGTTCGGGACGGCCCTGGGTGCAGTGAGAGGTCAGCAAGCGCGAGCCCACTCTTTCCAGCCACCGTCCCCGGGCTTCGTCTCATTCATGTTCACATCCACTGCGCTCCGGGACAAACCCAGGTTCTGGAGGAGCAGAGGAGGATGGGTGAGCCAGGCCTGCAGGGAGCCCCTCACCCCCTGCCCTCAGGGGACAGGTCATCAAAACACCCCAGGGCACTGTTCACGGCAAGTCGTGCTGCTGGGTGCGTGGCTCTCCTGTGGCCCGGAAAATTCCTCCCTGCCGAGTCCCAAATCCAGGGGGAATGATTAACAACAGGGTCAGCTCAGGGCGGATCTCCTGCTGGGAACTTGGGCCACAGCGCCCCTGGCTTTGGGGGAGCAGGGAGCACCCTCCCCCATCAAAGCGCATCCAGCCTCTCAGGACTTTGGAAAAGAAAACAAACACCTTGCAAAGCTGTCCCAGAGGGTGGTGGGGAGCCAAGAGGGCTCGAGTGGTCGCCTCACCTGCCAGGGTAGCAGCCCCAAAGCTGGGACAGCCGATGGGGCATGACTTGGACAGCAGGCCCAGGGCTGAGTCAAGCCCCTGAGATCTCCCGAGGGAGGACTCCCCGGCCCTCTGCCCTGGGCCTCTACTCTGAGCCGGCAGCCCCAGGCCCATCAGAGGGCAGGGGAGTCCACAGGGCTGCGACGTGGTAGGCACAGGTGCCCGCCCCGCCTCACTCCCTCTGACCCCCTTGCTAACGGCAGGCAATGCCAGGGAGGCGCGGGGCCATGGCATGGGTGTGCGAGCCGTCTAAACCGGGAGGGCGAATGGGCCTTTGGGAGGGCGGGCGGGTGTTTAGGAAGGTCCTGGGCCCGACACCTTGTCACAGACAGACCAACCAGGACCGTCCAGGGATGTGGATGGAAGCCTTGGGGACCCAGAGTGGCTCTGGCTGGCCCTGGAGGACAGAGCTGTTCCACCACGGGGGTGACAGGGAAGAAGGGCGCTCCCCACCCTCTAAGGGATGCAGCTAAACGGAGGGCCAGTGTCTGCTTGCCCTGAGTGGAAGGCTGTACAGACACCTCCGAAGGCAGCAGTGTGACAGCAGCCCAGGCCGGGCCACACCGACTGTGTCCTGGCTCAGAGCACAGGACACCAGCTGGGTATTTTCAGGGTCCCTTCCAGAGCTAAATCAGATGAGCCTGCAGTTTCGTGCAGAAGCCGAGGAGAGGGAAGACGGGCGGCCCAGGAGAAGGCGCTGCAGCTCAGGGTCCAGCTAGGGGCCCGGTGGGGTCCCAGCACCCCCCAACTCTGATGCGTCCCTGGAAGGGTGACAGGACAGTTAAGCTCGTCAGAGCCTCTCCCAGGACAGCTGGTGTGCGATCCAGAGAAGTCCCACAGTGAATCTCTGGGGCTGCCCAGGAGACCAGTCCCAAAGCCCCCTCGGGGACAGTGTCACTGTCCGCTCCCCAGGAGGGACAGCGGCATCCCAAAGGCCTGTGGGCTCAGAGCAGTGAGTGGGGCTGAGTCCTGACCTCAGCCTCTGCCACACGCAGTCCAGAGCCACCTGTGCACACACAGGCACATGCACAGGGTCACCAAAGGGGATACTGGGGCCTCTGTCCTACCTGTAAGAGATTCAGCCCAAATGGACGACACCCTTCCCACATCTCCCTGGGTCTCACCCCCGGCCTCACCTGGGAATCCTTGTGTGGTGCTGAAGACACTGTCCTGGTGTCTGAACACCGAGCACAAGCGACAGTGAAATTATCTTACAGTGTTTTTAAAACACACGGTCACCGAATTTCAAATCAGGGACAGTGCAAGGAGAATTCCATTCCCCAATGTGGAGGAGCGCGGTGGTCTCCTGGTGTCCCAGCCAGGTGCCCCTGTGGCCTTCCAGGGAGACCATGCCTTCCTTTGGCCTGGGTTTGGGGGGTGATCCCCACTGGAAAGCTTCAGGGCGCGTGTGTACCCGCCCCACCACCCGCACTGGATGCCACAGTGGGTGTGGTGTGGGCCAGCCAGGCCTGATCATCCCTGCCAGGAGCAGATTCTCCCAGGGCACAGTGCCCAGGGCACAGGCGCCTTCACAAGCCACAGGGCTGCACTTTGGATCGGGGGTGCAGCCTCAGCTCCCTCTCATCCCCCCGCCCTGCTGTGCTCAGAGGCAGCCAGGACCTCAAAGCCAGCCTCACCTCTGAGAGCGGCAAGATGACAGCCCCTCAGAGGCACCCCAGCCCCCCATGTTAACCTGTGCCCCCACCCTCCAGCATTCTGTCCATGTGGGCTTGGCTCCCCACAGGCTGCCCAAATCTGAATCTGAGCCCTTGATCACATGCTCCTAGGGTCCCAGGAGTCCCTCCCCCAGTGCAGACCTCATTGTGGTGTGTCCCCTCCGTCTGCCGAGACAGCCACATGGAGCTATCAAACTGTAGGTTGGATCAGGTCTACACCAGGGCTCTTAAACCTCAGCGTGGAGGGGGAACCTCAGAGTCCCAAGTGACAATCTGCAGCTTCAATCAGGCTGGTGACACTGAGCCTGTGCTGACCTCAAACCCAGATCAGAGCGACCCGAAAGCCACACCACAGGGCAGGTGGCGAGAGGGCCGGGGAGCCAGGCAGTGTGGGTTTCGGTCCCAGCTCTGCCACTTCCTGTGTGTCCCGAGCCACTCTGGCTTCTCTGTGCCTTAGCTGGTTTTTCTCTCAGTAAAATGAGAGGGTCATTGTGAGTCCTAAAGGGGTTAATTTTGGGTCTTGAGTTGGGTGATCTCAGAAACAGGTAAGTGATAGAACTGTGGGGGACTGAAGAGATAAGAAGTATGAAATATAAATGACCTTTATTTTGAGAACGCGGGGAGAGACACCCCCAATCCCCTGGGGCGCAGCATCTCCACCCCGGGGTGGGCGATCTCTCCGTGGAGCACGTGGGGGGCACCCTAAGGGGGCATCAGGGATGCACAGGTAGCCCGTTGGTTTCTGTTTGGCGCCAGACGTAGATTCCTAGGGGAGGGGGAGTTAGGAGCTCCTTGGTTCCTCCTCTAAGGCTTCACCCGCTACAGTGTCCTGTCTGGGCCAAAACTCAGTAAGCAAGAAAGTGGGCGAGCCCAGGAAGGCCTGGCAGGGAGTGGACAGGGAGGCAGCAGCCAGCCCAGTGGGCTCCGAGCCCTGGTGCATTCTGGGAACGGAACAGGGAGGACGCATCACCAATAACTTCCGGGTCAAGTTATTCCAGACAGGAGCCAAGGGACTTACTTATTCACGTCCTCCACAGGCATTGGCTCAATGCTGCCCCTACTGGACAGAATGTGAATGTCCAGGCAAGGAGAGCAGTCCTAGCCATGCTTTAAAAAAGCAGCAACGCAGGGCAGGTATCTAGGTGCCAGCTGCTGATCACCAGCTGCCGGCACCTAGATGCTGGCACGAATAAGTGCCCAAAATCTCCACTGCCATGCACAGTGCATCTGGTGAGAGCTTTGGTTCCTTCCACCTGCTCAGGCATTGGCTCAATGCTGCCCCTACTGGACAGAATGTGAATGTCCAGGCAAGGAGAGCAGTCCTAGCCATGCAAAAAGCAGCAACGCAGGGCAGGTATCTAGGTGCCGGCTGCTAATCACCAGCTGCGAGCACCTAGATGCTGGCACGAATAAGTGCCCAAAATCTCCACTGCCATGCACAGTGCATCTGGTGAGAGCTTTGGTTCCTTCCACCTGCTCAGGCATTGGCTCAATGCTGCCCCTACTGGACAGAATGTGAATGGCCGGGCAAGAAAAGCAGTCCTGGCAACACAGGGCAGGCAGGCACCTAGGTGCTGGCTTGGTGACCACTGTGTGGTTGTCGAGGGCAGACAAGTAAGCGCCCAAAATCCCCACCGCCACGTGCAGTGCATCGGGTGAAAGCTGTGTTTGCACCAGCTCATGCAGGCTTGGCGCTGACCAAGGCTAATCCCCAACCCACCTTGGGGCTTTTCCTGGTGCGTCACGTGCCTGGGCTGCTCCTCTCCAGGAGCCTGCAACATTGGCCCTTTTCTCCAGTCTCACTCCCCAGTAGTCGACTCTCTGCTTAAGATCACTTTCTTGTCTCTGCCATCCAATGTCAGCCCTTCCAGCCACGGCCCTGTTCCCTCTCTGCCTGACACTCTGTAATCCACAAGTCTGCTTCCCTGATTGACGCCTGCAGTCTTACATTGCCCAAGATTCCAAAAGCTGTTATGTTTGCTACTGTTTCCCCTTAACTAACATATAGTGGGCTTTCATTGAGTCAAGGATTGGATGGGTAGGTGAGTGTGTGGGTAGAAGGATGCACAGATGCATGAGTGGATGAGGGAGTGGGTGGGTGGATGGATGCATGGATGGATGGATGACTAGATGGATGGATGGATGGATGGATGGATGGATGGATGGATGGATGGATTGATGGATGGACAGATGAATGGATGGGTGGATGGATGGATGTGTGGATGAATGGGTGGGTGGATGGATGGATGGATGGATGGGTGGGTGGATTGATGGATGGACAGATGGATGGGTGAGTGCATGGATGGATATGTGGGTGAATGGGTGGGTGGATGGATGGATGGATGGGTGGATGGATGGGTGGGTGGATTGATGGATGGACAGATGAATGGATGGGTGGATGGATGTGTGGGTGAATGGGTGGGTGGATAGATGGATGGATGAATGGATGGGTGGATTGATGGATGGACAGATGAATGGATGGGTAGATGAGTGAGTGGATGGATGGATGGGTGGGTGGGGTGGGTGGATGAATGGATGGATGGGTGGGTGGATTGATGGATGGACAAATGGGTAGATGGATGGATGGATAGATAGGTGGGTGGGTGGATGGATGGATGGATGGATGGATGGATGGATGGATGGATGGACAAATGGGTAGATGGATGGATGGATAGATGGGTGGGTGGATGGATGGATAGATGGGTGGGTGGATGGATGGATGGATGGATGGATTGATGGATAGATGGATAGATGAATGGATGGATGGGTTAATGGATGGATGGATGGATGGATGGATGGATGGATGGATGGACAAATGGGTAGATGAATGGATGGATAGATGAGTGGGTGGGTGGATGGATGGATGGATATATGGTTGAATGGGTGGATGGATGGATGGATGGATGGATGGATGGATGGATGGATAAATGGATGGACAAATGGGTAGATGAATGGATGGATAGATGGGTGGGTGGATGGATGGATGGATGGATGGGTGGATGGGTGGATGGACAAATGGGTAGATGGATGGATGGATAGATGGGTGGGTGGGTGGATGGATGATGGATGGATGGATGGATGGATGGATTGATGGATAGATGGATAGATGGATGGATGGATGGGTTAATGGATGGGTGGATGGATGGACAAATGGGTAGATGAATGAATGGATAGATGAGTGGGTGGATGGGTGGATGGATATATGGGTGAATGGGTGGATGGATGTATAGATGGAGGGATGGATGGATGGATGGGTAAATGGATGGACAAATGGGTAGATGAATGGATGGATAGATGGGTGGGTGGATGGATGGATGGATGGATGGATAGATGGATGGATGGACAAATGGGTAGATGGATGGATGGATAGATGGGTGGGTGGGTGGGTGGATGGATGGATGGATGGATGGATTGATGGATAGATGGATGGATGGATGGATGGATGGATGGATGGATGGATGGATGGGTTAATGGATGGATGGATGGATGGATGGATGGATGGATGGATGGACAAATGGGTAGATGAATGGATGGACAGATGAGTGGGTGGATGGGTGGATGGATATATGGGTGAATGGGTGGATGGATGGATAGATGGATGGATGGATGGATGAGTAAATGATGGACAAATGGGTAGATGAATGGATGGACAGATGGGTGGGTGGATGGATGGATGGATGGATGGATGGATGGATGGATGGGTAAATGGATGGATGGGTGAATGGATGGATGGATGGATGGATGAGTGGATGGGTGTCCTTGGGTGGGTAGAAAGGACTACGTGGCTGACAGTCAAAGAGGCAATCATGCCCTCTAAGGGGCAAGACTGAACTGGTGTCAAGGACAAGAGTTTCAATCCAAACTTTATCTGTGTGTCCTTCCTCTGACCTTCAGTCCGGCATGCGGAGTCATGAATCATCCTCTGACCTCAGGTGCTGGGTAACTGACCTGGACAGTGTAGGGGGAGCCCCTTCTTTCTAAAGTGGCCAGGCAGCCTATTCACTGGACTAAGCAAAACCAAGGAAGCATCTGCTCCTTCCTCAATCCCAACCACTCCCAGAATCCTAGAATATTGACAAGGGATTCAGAGTGGTGCATGGAACAGAGACCCAGAGGAAAAGGAGATTAAACAGAACAAAAGACTTTGTGTGATAAAAGCTTAGAGGAAGCTGGGTGGATAAGGCACCATCTTAAAATCATTAAAGGCTGAGTCTCTTCTGCCTTGATTCTCTATGCTTAAAAGTCTCATTGTCCAAGGTGGCTGCTTGTGCTCCAGCCATCAAATCCCCATTTCAGTCTTCAAGGAGAAAGAGATACTGAGTAGCTTGCTTCCCCTTGTGAGGACCCTTCCTAGAAGTCATCATGAAAGACTTCTGTTTACATCTCACTAGCTCCAAGTATTCAGGAGTAACAGCTGGGAAGAGGGGCTCTTTACTAAAGAATCCAAGGTGAAGGAGTGGTGTGGGGCAGTTGGTAACCTCGAAGACGGGCCGGTTTATGGTCCTTCGATTTGTCTGCTGTGTGCCAGGGACTGGGGAGCAGGCTTGGGAGGCCTGCCCAGATGGGTTCTCCACTCCAGCCACAGCACACAGCCAGGATGCCTGCTGGGCACAGGCCTGCAGATCTGCCCAAGAGCCGTGTGGAAGAGCAGTGGGAGGGGGCTGAGCTGACCCCTCGCAGGGGACACAGCCATCTGCAGGGGTGGACTCACAGCGGGGCTGAGGGATGAGGAGGAGCCACCTAGCTGTGCAGGGCTTGCACTGGGCAGCTCCGTCCTGTGCTGGGCTGGTCACTGTGCCTCTCTGAGCCGCAGG